GTCTGCTTCCATAAAGACTTACAGCCTTGGAAACCCCATGGGGCAGTTCTTCCCTATCCTGTAGGGTCACTATGAGTTGTAATCAACTCAATGGCAGTGGGTTGGGTTTGGGTTTCTTGGCATGGTTACTAAACTTGAGATTTCATTATTCTTGCCTATTCCCAAGAAAAAAAAATGAAGATTCTCAGTCTGACTAGTCCTTGAAACCGAATCCTAACTAAGATGAAAACTAATCATCACATGTCGTCCCAGCAACTGTAGCTTTTGTTTTTTCTAGGACTCCCCACAGCCACCTGCCACTCCCCTGCCAAGGAGTCGTTCTCTCAGCGGCCTGGCTTCCCTGTCTGCCAACACTCTCCCTGTGCACATCTCGGATGCCACCAGGAAGAGGGAGTCTGCGGTCAGGTGAGTGGTCAGGCTGCACGAAACCTCGGCCCAAATGCTGGAAACCACTCTGCCGCTGAGCCACCTCTCCTGTCATCAGCACAGGAGTCCACACGGCCTCCACACCTGGTGCTGGAGAACACTTTGCCATCATTCAGCAGACACTCATGGGCCCAGGAACAATGTTAAGGCTAGAGATACCTTCCGGAACCTGTTGTTAGTATCTAGTCTGAAATACAGAAAAGCAAGCAGGCAATTACAGTATTTTGTACATAGCGCAGTGATGGCGGTGTACAGGGGACTGGGACAGGAAAGGCTCACATCTTTTGGAATCGTAACATCTGAAGTGACATTTGAGGACTGAGGAGTTGTTATCTAGACAAAGGCGAGAGTGAGTTCCAAACAGAGAGAAGAACCACTTGGGTAAAGGTACAGAGGTGAAAGAGGGAGGCAGCTGTTAGGTCCATGAATTTAGAGAAGCATGATGGCAGGTGGCTGAACCTGCCACAAACAGGATAAGGAGACATCCACAGCTTAGTTTGAGATTCTCAGAGATTCATCGTGGGCAGCTGTCAGAGGTCAGCTGGGAAGCAAGAGCCTCCTTGACTCTTTAACTCGCCTGACTCTTGTCATGGTACTGTTCTCATGCAGCCAGTTCCCCAGCAACAGAAGTCCCTCTGCTAGGCTTCTGAATTGAGCAGGAGAGGTCACACAGCAGTTTTGTTCCAAGACAAGACTAACGTCTGTCTTTCCTGTGGAACTCACAGAGTAGTACACTGAACGTACTACTTGGCTCCCTAAGATCTACCACAGGGATTTTAGAAGTGAATTTAGAACTCAAGGGATATTTCTTCTTTCCTCAAATTTCATAGTTATAGCAGTTAAGTCAGAGGGTCCCAATAAGCTGGGCTCTATGAACAGGAGGATGGACCACCTCTGCAGCACGTCCATATCTACCTCCCAGCAATAGCGAATGTGAGATATCAGCAGATGAAATTTCTGTGTCTCCTTCCTAACCCATCTGTTTGAATGTAAACATCTAAACCAAGTGTTGCTTTTCCCTTCGGTGGAACTCTCCATAGTACCTTGTGGAATGATATTCACACAAACTTGCGAAGTGCTGCAAGTTGACCCAGTCAGCATTTCCAGTTTTCTTTGGAAAGCAAAGTTGTATTCCCAAAGGCCCATAAACCCTGGCACCATCCAGCCCACCATTTACAGCACAGTGGTCAAGAGTAGAGGCTTGGGACTCTGAGATCCCTGTTCTAATTCTAGCTTTCCACTGGGGTGGAAACCTTCTCCATACCACTTCACTTCTTTTACCTTCTCTGAGCCTCAATCTCCTCGTCTGCATAAAGGGGCTTAGATCCTTACCTCCTAGGGCAGGTGTGGGGATTACATAAAGGACATGAAGCACTTATTTAGTGTTTGAATGTGCTTGGTTCAGGGTAGGGAGCCCAGCAAATGCCAACTGTTAGTACTACTTTGTTTTCCTGATAGTTGAGAAGCCTGGCAAAGACATACTGAGTATTTG